TCAGACAATTGGGTTTCTAAATGAAATTCCCATAAGTGGACTGAATCCACTATAGCATTGAAGTTCCCCATCCGAAGGGGAAACAGTAGGTGAGGAATCATGTTAAGGCTTCTTCCTCCATTGCTTCATGAGAGACAATATTGTGTGTGATGTCGAATAAAGTGTTCTGGCCTGACTCAGCCCAAAGACAAGAAGAAGTAAATAGATTTTGTTTTTTATCTTTGATTTTTGTCCCTTTTAGTATTGTATACTGTAGTACTGTGTATCACAGGCTAAATACTGCACAATGAAGAAATTGCATGTCCCTGAACTTTGAGATTAAAACTGTATTTCTCCCTGAGAACTATACGTTTTTTGTTTTGTTTTGTATACTCTCAGAAAAAAAGGTACACAGTGGTACAAATAATGTTCTAAAGGTAGAGTTTTGTACCTTCATAAAAGTTGTACAGAAAATAACACTTATGATACTGTTCTGTACCCTTTGTGGTTTGCACAATTGTTCTTATAACAAAGGTACATAAGAGTTGGACAACTCCTTCTTTATTACAATATCTATGAAGATAAATATTACTGGAAAGGCAAAGTGATTTTATGAATAATTTCCATATTAAAACATGAAACATCATTTAAAAGCATATGTGTATGCATATGTGAAACTTATAAACATTAATTAAGTTCTATAATATAAACAACAGGTAAAACAAAACTACAGGTTTTGCAAACTAAACATTTAGGGCATTTTTTTAAAAAAAACATTTGGTAGGCATTTTCTGATAAATACATTTTCATTACTGATATCCACAACTTTTGGCATTTGCTTTTCACTACACACGTGAGCTGGCAAAAGTCCTGCATATGCAAAGTGTTCATGCATACAATTTAATAAAGTAAAACAAATCAAACATTGTGCATATCTTGTTACAATACTTTTGCATGATTATATTTTATAATTTTAAAATTAAGTAAATTGAATGAACTTTTAAGTGATTACAAAAGTATTGTGTAAAAATACTTTACATGGGAGAATGCATTTGGGTAACATTTTTATGAAAAGTTTTATGAAATGTGTAGTGAAAAATAAATCTTTTCATTTATGCTTATTCTTTATTATGAATGGAACAGGTGCATTTACAAACAAATTTTTTTTTTAATAAAAACATTGTTTAAACATTGTTCATAAGATGTTTTATATTTACTGAAAATAAATTGATGCATTTTAGACATACAGTAGCAAAATGTATTTAACTACTTCTTGAAGAAACACATTTGACATTGTTAAGGTACAAAGTGTCTTGTCACTGTATGTGGTACCTTCATAGATCAGATTTGTACCTTTGATGAAAGTAAAATATTGTATCTGCAATTTGAAAAAAAAAAAAAAAAAAAAAAAAAACGTACATTTTGGTTTCCCATGGTACAAATCATGTCCTTAAAGGTACAAACTGCAATGGTAGAAATTTTTTTCTTTCTTTCTTTCTTTCTTTCTTTCTTTCTTTCTTTCTTTCTTTCTTTCTTTCTTTCTTTCTTTCTTTCTTTCTTGAGAGTGTACATTTTGATAACTGTATTATTTGAGAGTATATTTGAGGCAAAAGTAACGTTTTTTTTAAAGTGAAGTTAGAGGTTTTGTCATTAGTGCTTGAAGATTTTGTGTTTAATTGTGTAGTAAAACAAAGCAATGGTTTAGAAATTGTCTTCTAGCAATCGAGAAAAACTGTAATGAAAATTAGTCTAAATCTACTGGTTTAAAGGGATAGCTTATGCAAAATGTTACAGGTTTCAGCTTTCTTCAAAATATCTGCTTTTTATCTTATTTAGAAACTAATCAAGTTTTGGAACTACTTGAGGGTGAGTAAATGTTCATTTTTTGGGTGAACTATCCCTTTAACAGAAGAAAGAAAACCAAACAAGTGGAGGGTGAGTAAGTGCTAGCTTACATATTAAAGTTTTTTTTTTTTTTTTTGCACACAACAATGGATACTGTATATCAGATGAATGCTGCACATTTGCACTTTTATTTAAACCATCATCTAAAGAAAGGAAACAGTTTTGATGAGGAATATTAAGTATTGGGAAAAACTTCTATAAAGTGAGGATAAGAAATGCTTTATGATTGCCAACTCAGCATGCAAAAACAAATTCTGAATGTCCATTTATCAGAAAACAGACCTACAGGGCCCTTCATGTTGTACAGTACCATAAATACATTGATAAAAAGCATTTCTAAATGTTTATGTAAGCTTAATCCTCTCATACTTCATGAATCAAGTAGAAATGCTTGGCTAAATGGAAACTGAAAACATAAGCTGCCAGCTGACCGCCTCAAAATTGAATGGCCGTAAAACTAAAGTGACATTTAATCCCATTAAAAGACCAAAATTAAATCAGCAGTAATGCTAAATGTTCGTTAAAGATTTCTAGCAGAGTACAGAGGCAATGTGTGCGCAGTCTGCACAATCAGAAAGGTAAAGATCTAGTGCGTGGCTCATGAATCACACACTAGACTGCTGCTCAAACATACATTTTCTGCAATGCTTTATTTAATGATTGGTCATGACTGCTCACTTTAACACATGGGGGTCAAGCTTAAATTGACAGGGAATCATTACAATGACTGACAACTCATAGGAGTGCCATTTTAACATTCAAGCCCAAGAAGAAAGTGCAAACTTGATGTAATTTAATGTAGAAGCATTTTAGTACAACAGACATGCCATTTATATTTCAAGCAAGCACTACCTGTCACCAGTGGTAATGCAAAGACATAGCTGCTGAAATATATATTTGCTTGCTGTGTGTATGGACATGCATTAGACACAAAAATGTCTTCTCTTTCAGAAAAATTTATTTTCTTGTCAGATTAGTCCCTTTATTAATCCGGGATCGCCACAGCGGAATGAACTGCCAACTTATCCAGCACGTTTTTACGCAGCAGATGCCCTTCCAGCCGCAACCTATCTCTAGGAAACATCTACACACACACACTCATACACTACGGACAATTTAGCCTACCCAATTCACCTGTCCCACATGTCTTTGGACATGTAGAAAACCCACGCGAATGCCGTGAGAACATGCAAACTCCACACATAAACACCAACTGAGCCGAGGTTCAAACCAGCGACCTTCTTGCTGTGAGGCGATAGCACTACCTACTGCACCCCTGCGTCACCCCTCCACAGAATATATGTAGTGAAAAGTGTAGCTTTTTGTTTGTTGCTGTACATAATGAAGGGGCAGTTAAAACGGCTATGACCATTCTACAAATAACAGGCATAAAAATAATAATTATCCTTTCCTAACAAATTGTTGCACACACAAAAAAGCACTGTTTGTGGTTTGTTCAAACTTCTTTTTTACTTTTTTCAAAATACATTTTTGGGGACGACTTAATCGTTTCATGTTCAATTCATTTAAATTTGTAAAAACTAAGGAGTTAATTCCTTCATCGTATCTTTGTTTTTTGTATATATTCACATTTACTTTAACATGGTTAATTTAAGCAGCTTGACATTTAAATTTTAGTTGTATACTAAAAAAAATAAGAACAAATGATAAAATTAGACAATCTGTATTGAATATTAGAAAAAAAATTATCATACTTGATACACCAGTAGCTTGACCTGTAAGCCATGAAGAAGTGTTTGTACAAGAAAAAAAAAGAACCAGTATAATACCAATTACAATTGAATGACCCATGCATATTTACAAAAATATAGATTCAGTAAAAATAGAGCACTGAAATAGGACATATTTTTCCAAGGTTTTAACATCAGTCACAACAAAACTGAGTGTTACATGCAGTGAAAGAAACTGAAAGTGACACTAAACCATATGTATAGTGCAGCACCTTAAATGTTCAGTAAGTGACTAAAGGCAACTACACAACCATGACAGTTATTCAATATACAGCTTCAGTCATCATTATTAAATTCGATTTTTTTTTTCTTATTTTAAATATTTGCTAAATGATGTTTAACAGAGCAAGCAATTTTTCACACTATGTCTGATAATATTTTTTTCTTCTGGAGAAAGTCCTATTTCTTTTATTTTGGCCAAAATTTTTAAAAAACATTTTAAGGTCAAAATTATTAGCCCCTTTTAAGCTATATTTTTTCGATAGTCTACAGAACAAACTATCGCTATACAATAAATTGCCTAATTACCCAGACCTGCCTAGTTAACCTAATTAAGCCTTTAAATGTCACTTTAAGCTGTATAAAAATATCTTGAAAAACATTTAGTCAAGACTGATTTACTGTTATCATGGCAAAGATAAAATAAATCAGTTATTAAAAATGAGTTATTAAAACTATTATGTTTAGAAATGTGTTGAAAAAAAATCTCCTCTCCGTTAAACAGAAATTGCAGAAAAAAATATACTGGGGCTAATAATTCAATTATATTCAATATTTTTCTTTTTAGCTTAGTCCCTTTATTATGCAGGGTCGCCACAGTGGAATAAACCACTAACTTATCCTACATATGTTTTTTGCAATGAATGCCCTTCCAGCTGCAACCCATCACGGGGAAAAATCCATACACACATACAATACGGACAATTTTAAGCCTCCCCAATTCACCTGTACCGTATGCTTTTGGACTTGTGGGGAAGACCGAAGCACCCGAAGAAAACCCACATAAACATTTGTATATATATATATATATATATATATATATATATATATATATATATATTTGTGTATACATATATATACATATATATTTGTTTGTGTGTGTGTGTGTATATATCAATTGCAGGCCAAAGGGAAGAGGAGCGGCTATAAATGACCTACGGGCAAGCAGGTTGAGACCCCTGCTTTAACGTGTACTGTATTACACCATGTTTTTACACCATAGTTGATGTGCAATGTAAAAAATTTAATTGTGTTTTATTGGTAGACTTGTGTTAAAAAAAAGAAAAAAAAAGTATCACAAGGATAGATTATGAAACCATTAGTAATAGAAAACAAACACATACACAAACACACTTGAGTGGTTACCTGTGTGTGATGACAGAGGTGAGTGTGGTCGAGGAAGGGCTGATGACTGTCCACTACCTATTAGACTTTTTCTGTTGCTGGTTCTGCAGCTAGAAAAACAAAACAAACAGTTGTGTTTTGTGAACAGATCTCTGCAATCAAACACCAAACAGACATAAGGTATATCTGAATACTGACATTTTGCATGCGTTACAGTTTATAAAATATCACAGGATATATCATCAAAGATATTTATTTACAATTTGGATCAGATAAGTCTGATACAAATTCCATATGAAAACAGCAAATGTCATGTGACAAGATAACAATACAATTAAACTCTCTCACAAGTTCTTAGTGAACTGCTAAGAAACAATTTACATATTGTGTCAAGACATATGCTGCTGACACAGAGCAACTTTTTTTTCCCCCAATGTTGCAGGGAACTTTAGGAAATGATGCCATATATGGGCAACCAGGTGAGACACATGGGAACTAATTAGGGCAATAAGTTTCAGATACAATATTGTTGCCTATTCTTAATAGAAAAGAAGCCAAGCAACACTGCTCAAAAAGTTTGTAATCCTTATGCCTGAAAAAGAAAAACCATTGCACAAAAACATTTTATTTGAAAACTTTCCCAAACCAAGTACAATCAAGCTCCTGCAGGGCAAACATTGCACATATTTAACCTCCGAACAGCTCCGACACAATTGCATAGAAATGTTCTAGTGAGTCTAAAGACCTTTATTAGCTTGTTCAAGTGTGTTGAAATAAAGTAGCCACTGAACTCTGCGGGCTGCCAGGAACAGGTTTGTACAACCCAGGATTAGTACAAAACGCCACAATTTGAATTCAAATCCCTTTCATTTCAATTGTATACAATCAAAAGCTAACATGAATTATAATTACTGTACATTAACAATGCAGAGCGAGTTTAAGTGCTAAAATGCTGCACTCAAGTGAAAATGTTTGGGTTTAAACAAACAAATAAACAAGTAAACAAACAAACAAATAAATAAAATGTTAAATATAAAAATCTCAATTTTTTGTAGACATCACTTTGACATTTATTACTGCAAGAAACTTACTTACAATTAAATTTGCATAACATCCCCAAAAAGCTCCCCTAAAAATGGGCATTCCAAATAGGGCTGCAAAAAATATCATTTGAGCATCGATTAGGATTATAGATGACCAGAAACCACAGGTCAAAACACAAAATTTGTTTACACACTGCAGAATTGAGCCATAATGGAGTAAAAGTTTATCATCTGCATGTGTTTTTAAGGCCTGTGACTATGTGAGCATTTGAAGAGAGTTTAAAGTATTGTAGTAGTGGACAAAGACGTTTAATAAAGATTAATTATTTATATGGTTTATATGGTAGAGTGCTATTTTACTTTTAAATATTCCATTTCTGTACCTAAATATTACGGTTTATTTAACGCTAATATTTACTCCATTGTGGTAATTTATGACTGTAGTCTGTTTATTATATATGTACATTACAAATTACATAAACATGTATTTATATTTCACTCCCATGCAAAATCATCCCAAGTAATGACTTTGCAAATAGAGCTATTTAAGTCATCATGGGGTGAAATTATATTGCAATATATATCGTAGAGAAAAAAAAATGCAATTTAAAATGTTTCCAATATCGTGCAGCCCTAATTACAATAATTTAGTAATAATAATTCTTGATTACCATATGACAGAGTCAAAATGATTTCTTTCCCAGCATCTGCTGTCATCTTCTAGTATCAAACTGCAGCACACAGAGCCTGAGTTACACACTTTTAAAAAGGTTTAAGAACAAAAGACAGCCTAGCATTGAGTTGGTTATTAAAACAGAAACCTATGTAAGAATATTACTACAGCATATATAGTACCATTTAAAAGCATAGAATCTCTATTTTCTGTAAATTCTGCATTATTTTACCATTTATTTTAGTATTATTCAGGCATAAACCCCCAAACATCTGCAGTTAAAGAAATAAAAATGTTGGTAATAGGTCCCCTGAATTACTTTTTCTGAGTCTATGGAAAATGGTACTGTAACAGAGAAGATTTAGCAGCACAATAATGGAGGACAGAGTGAAATCCTAGAGGGCAAATGAACATGTGACTGTGGCCTCTTCTCTAGCTATTGATCCCAAAGTTGGTGTCTGAATGGCAGCCTGGCAGACTGGCAGACATCACAGATGACATTGCAAAGCCCTTGTGATCATCACCTCAGCAAAGTGTCTGTTTCAAGCAGCTAATATAGAATTTATGACATTCATCAAGGCATTTAAGAAATTCTACATTTCTACATCATTTACATTTCTTTCTAATAGAGATTTTTTTGCACAATTTCTCTGTGATCCTTGCTTTATTATTTTCAAGTTGAAAAAGCGCATGAGAGAAAAGGCCATGAAAAATAAGTAGTTGTCACAGCTTATTATGGGCGTGAAGGTTAAGGCAGTTGAGCATTTTTCTCAGAGTTTAGGTCACCGCACTGACTGAACGTGTGTGTGATTTCAGTAAAACAAGAAACACTTTCCAGCTTTTAGTGATCTAGCATGAACTAGGCAACAGTCTTGAGTAGTTGAGCGAGACCTTTTTGTACTACTAGTGCATAAGAATATGATTCATAAAACATTTCGCATTATTTCTACAAAGCACTGAATAATATGACATTTGTCTGCATATGCAAGAAAAACAATTATGTCATTTTACTGAATGCAGGTAGAAAAGCAGATGACTCTAAAAGGAAAATGCAAGCATAATGGCAAAGAATAAAGCGATCGTTTTTAAAGTACTTTAATGGGGCAATTTACAACATGTGCACACTATTTTTGTTACAATTTTCTCTTTAATTTAATTTCTCTTATGTCATTCAAAGCTTCATACACCAATGCAGTTTCAAATTAGTTCGATAACCATTTTCAGATGGTTAGACTTTGAATGTGTAAGCATACTACAGTGTAATGTTGGGAAGTTTGTTGAGATAATGGCTTCTTTTTTTTAAGTGGCATAAAAAGTATATCACACCGTTAAAAGCAAGAATATGAGAATGATATGACCCCTTTAAATATGTACCATTATTTAGTAGAATATCTGGTTCATGAGCTCTCGGTTAAAGAGGATCAGGTTTTGCTATTTATACAGTTGCTACACACCGGCAGATTAGGAACAGACAATGCTCGGCTCACTTCTTATTGCGGCTATGATGAAAATATAACTCTATGCTACATCTGGACAAAACCCACACAGAAAATAACTGTAAGCTACATATCCACTGAATCATAAAGTATCAGTCACCGTAGGCCACTTGACAGGCATGTTGCTTACGTCACTAATCCGGCTTCCAGCTCATTTTGAAGCTGTTTCTTTAAAGTGTGTGTGTGTGTGTGTGTGTGTGTGTACCTTGTATTCCAAATGTCTCCACAAGTATAGTAATAGCAAAATTTAAAAAGGAAGATTGTTGCCTGTGGTGGTTGGGTTAAGGGGTATTAGGATAAAAAAGACAGTTTGTACTGTATAAAAACCATTACATCTATCAGAAGACCACATGAAATATGGGTTTGTGTCTATTCACTGTACGGTGTAGTGTGAATGACTGTACAGTATATGTGACAAATAAAACAGAATTTAATTAATGGATTATTTTACTGACTTAAACTTTTTTACTGACTATAAAATTTCAAAAGACTTGAACGAAGGTCAACTATTAAAACTGTGCTCTAAAAGTTTGATTTGAAGAACTCAAATCTGAGCACCTAACTCAAAATATAACAATATTATTTAAAGGAAGATCACATCATAAACTTGTCAAAGTCATACTTATTGTATACAGATAGCTCATTGAGTCCTCCACCCAGTACAAACCAATAAGCAAAGCACTATTAAGAAAGCAGCTGCATATCATATTTTTTCTTGCATATTCGCCATAAATAATTTCAAACCTAAAATGACAGAATCAATCTGATTTACTAAGCCCAAGGATACTAATCGGATCATCTGTATCATAAATGGTAAAATGGGTCATTCCCAGGATTAAATTGTGTGCAAGATGGAAAAGGACAAGCATACATGCACATGGTTGCTCGATAGCAGACATATCTGAGGCTGGTTGGCCTTTTGATAAAGGCTTGGTCTTGTCACATGAGCGGTGAAAAGGATACAGCACAACTTCAGCATTTCCTTCAAAGGCAGCGTATCCAACAGAATCTGACAAACAACACAGACGCAGCTAGCTCTTTTCAAGAGGATTTACAGAACAAGCCATTTCCCTCACAATCAGAATGCATGTTTAGTCAAACGCATGGTAATAACACCAGTATATAAACGTCTTTTGTGCCTGCTGCATGGACTGAACAATAACGCCCTGATTACAATCAAGAGGTGCTCCAGTTCAGCATTCACAATGGAAATCTATCACAATACAAAGACATCACCTGTATCACCATAATGTTGTTGATGTGACCACACCTGTCATAATACTTTACAAAATTTTACCACCTTAAAAAAATAACCCATTAAACATGAAGACAAGCAATCAATCTCAGCTCACCTTTTAGAGCGCCGTAGTCTCGCTCCGTTGATAAAGTGAGGCATAGAAAAGTTGGAGAGTAAAGTCCATATGCTGGAGTCAGACATTGTCCCAAAGTCATGCCTCCAGAGTGCTCTGAGATGTCTTGGAAAAGAAAGTGTGGAGAAATGCCTGGCTTCCAAGAGAAGTAGGCACCCTGTGCAAGAGTCCTGGGAAGTCCTCCCAGTGCAACGCTCTGTCACTACAGAGGTTCGTCCATGCTCATCTGCTGCTCGCTGCAGCATACACAGGCTGTCACGGGGGACGGTATGTCCTTTTGAAGTGTCCTAATTCAAATAGTGTGAAAGCTCCTCTGAGCTGCTTCCTATTCAGGTCATATCCACTCCTGCTCGAATACAGGGTGCCTCTGGGACAGAGGTAAATGACCGCTTCCAGCAGGATGACTTTTTGTTTTGTTGAGAAAGTCGGAATGCTTTGCTGCTATCCCGTAGATTCATTGAGACTCAAGTGAGCTCCATATCATGTAGCAGGCACCTACCGTACCACATCCTGAGACAGGGAGGGAGAGGAAGGGGGAGGGAGGACGTGAGTCAGAGCAGCAATGCATCATCAGCAGACGACGCAGTCAATGCAATCACGGCTCTCCCTGTCTGGCCTCACTCCAGAACCCATCGAGACATTTGAAATGGACATCACAACTTTTCAACCGTAACCATGTGTGAGTCCTGCACCCTGTGGCCAAGCCTCTTTTCCCCGCTTCCCTTTTTTTCTTCACTAAACCTGCCATATGAAGAAAACCAGCCTCCCTCTTCCACTCCAGCACCTTTGATCTCCTCCTGTTCTGTTCTTCAATCTGCTCTTTTGGCAGGCAGGGCCATGGAGAGGCCCAACCACCCTGACATATGACAGATGAAGTTGGAGAGGTGGAATGGGGCCACTCAGTCTCAACAATTAGTCGTTGAATGCAGAGGGGAAGCTACTATAAGGTGTGAGGCAAAGGAGACTAGTTGCGACAGGATTAAGAGAACTCATAGAGCCAGGTACACAGACAACTGATCAATTCTTCAGATATAGACAATCATAAAGATTCTAGTCAAGCTGGAAGTGAGAAAAGTTGAGCTCAATAACCCTATAACCTCTGTCTCATGATTTCTTATCTCTTTCTAGCCACCAACAAAATGTAACACTCTGGAAACATTACAAGTCTCCTTTATTAGTCAGTCTGTGATGTGCACGTTTATACAATTTGCACTGCTTTAAGGATATTCCTTTGTATAAAACAAACCGAAAACAATATCAGTGATCTGAATCAATAAGTCTAAAGTTAGTTAACTTATAGTATGTTCATATCAAATTCAGCAACAGACGTGATTCTCATGCACATCGTGTCAGATAAACACAGATCTGTGATCTACAGTAAATCTCTTCCGAAGAGGGCATTCTCATGCAGAAACCACAAGATTTATGTTTTATTGATTAATTGCATCTAATAAACACAAGACTACAATACCATCTAACAGAATTTCAAACACCTGACTAAAGTTGAGGTGACTTTAAAGATGGGGTTTTCCACATTCTTTTAGATAGGCTGCATAACAGAGCCAAAGTTCACTGAAAATTAATTCAAACAGCTGCCAAAATACAGAATGATAATCTTTGATTTCAGGATCATTGATTTAAATATTCTGTAATAATTGAACTATGGTTCTCTGTAGTAAACTTTGCTCCATCTGAAAGCAGGTTCTGATCATTTACTGTTACTGTGAAAATCTAATTCGATTAAGTGTGAAGCCCTACTCCATTGCCTGTGTTTCACTCTGCTTCACAGTCTGCATGGCATCATTTTGCCATCAGCACAGTTTGCAGCATGTGAGCAGTGAATGTGTGAGGACTTTGAGGACTTGAAAAGAAAAATTCACTAGAACATACACTCTCAATAGATTGTAATGATTATAAGCACTTACCAATATTAACTATAGCAAACAAAACTGAAAAGAATACCAACCTTGTTATAAAAAAAGGAAAATTAATGATATATTTTTGATGTTTCCATTAATCTTTAAACAATGTAGTACAAAAAAAAAAACACTGTCACATTTCAGTATATGATGAACAGAGTTGTTTTTTTTAAACAATCACCTATACAATTATTATTATTATTATTATTATTATTATTATTATTAGTAGAAGTAGTAGTAGTAGTAGTGGTAGTAGTAGTAGTAGTAGTATTATAAATAGTAGTAGTAGTAGTAATATATTTAAAACTTGATTTAACTGTAAATGTTGTATTATAGAGTGCTCAGCATAATTGAGAAGACCCATTTTAAAAATTTATATTTTTTTCCATTTCTCAGTGAAGGCAATGTATTTTGGTGCATTTAAATAAAAAACTGTTTTATTAAACAGATAAATGTTTACAAATAATATTTTAGTCACAAAAAATACTTAGAAATTGAAAGATAATAAAATTAAATTCAAACAAAATATTGCAAAAAAATTACAAGCTACAAAATTTCAAATAAATTTTTAAATTTTTTGCTTCTCTTAATTTTTCCTCTTTGTTAAATTTTCATTTAATATTTTTCTATAACATATAAATTTGTGTGTACAAGTTTTTGAACCGTCACCTTAAGTTATTTTGTTAGATAAGCTCCAGATTTGACTTCAGTACTGACTAATTTTATGGATATGCACATATAGAATATTGTATAGCTTTCTATTAAAAATATGAATTTGAAAGATAGATTTGTGAGGGGGGTACTAATATATGCTTAGCACTGTAAATTACCTGTGTAGCTTTCAAATTCACCATAAAGAGGCAAATAATCATAATGTTTATCATTCTTATGGAATTAAAGCTCCCAGTAGCCTACAATACTTGGTATTTTATAACTGAAAGCATAATGAAACTTCACAAAAAAGTAATAAAAAACATGTGAGGGGTGAGGGGTGTATAGAGCTTTGTGAATAAAAAAGCATTGTAATTATATGGACATCTTAAGAATTTTCTACAGCTCTGTGAGAGTCAGTCACTCAGCAAGGAACAGATTTTGTGCTCTCGGGTCTCAGAATTAGATTATTATTAACCCTAAATAATAATCAAAGCTTCAACCAAAGCAGCACCATTTTCCAGAAACCATGCATATAAATATATTCTTTAATGTTGTTATGACCTCTTTATCTAAACAGTTCCACCATTTACTGTTATCAGACCAGTGTGCATAAACAGCGACTAATGAAAATAGTTCACACAGCTCAATGACCCATTTCATCACCAAGCCCAAAAGGCCTACATGATATCAAACAAAGACAGAATGACTGTGCTGTTCACAGTTCTGGCTTCATCATTATGGCTTTGAAAGGAGAATTCTAGAGCAGGCCACAATGTGCAGCAATGTTTGAAACAAAAGAGCGCAAAAGTTAAGATAGGAAGAATCAACAACATGCGATAGCTGTCAAATTTGTTCTAGAAATGGGTATAGATTAATGGGATTGTTCTGTTTACAATTTGATTTAAAATCTGCCCTTACTGATCAAATTTCAAAATCTAAATCTGAAAGATGTAGTGTAGGTAACAGCATGCATCCCAAATGAATCTCCTGTGACCATTTTGTAAAGATGTCTCTGATAATGTGAGCACTCACTATCTATATCTTTATGAAACTGCATGTTCATAAAGCACAAAAAAAGCTTTTAAATAGTAATATTATTATCCTTTCAACAAAATGTTTTGTGGAAACTCCTTTTATTCAAACCACACTTTTTCTTCCAAGTGATTAATTAATTGTGTTGTCAAGCCTGCGAAACCAATTATTATTACCATTCAAAAATTCTTGCTTTCTTTCAAATATGGAGCGCATGCAGCCTTTGTATTCGTAGCAAAAAAATAATCACTGCCACAGATTCTCATTTTCAACTTCTGAAATGACCTGGTTTTCCCTAGAAATGGTGCAGAGCTCCTTCCACCAAAAACCTTCAATGGCCAAAGCAAATCCTATTTATCACATAAAAGAGGGCGAATCAGAGACTTACCAAAAGGCTGGGGGAAGGGGGTGACTCTAAGAACGTTATATAAGCATAAGAAATGGCGCTATTCCCCACAGTTTTACAAATTAAAATCCCATTCAAAAGGCTTTGAATGTAAAAAAATAATCAAACTCAAAAGAGATCAATGAATGGAGACCCTGTGCCATTTCCATCACTGAACTCCATGCTTTCATTTTCAGTGGCAGAACACAGAGCCTTGAACACGTTAAGCCTCAAAACAAAATGGCTATGTAAAAGAAGCACGCGCTTACCTCCAAAAATGAAACGCGTGCAGCGGGCTGCATGGGCTGCAAGGGCTTGTGGGAGTTGGGCTCAAGCTTCGTGGAGTGAGGCTGGAAGTCAAATTGAGTTTCGTAAATGTTCATAATGGACAAACACAGTCTCTCTTAAGATGTAGCTTGTAAAGTTTGGATCTTATGTTTGTACATGTATGCAGAGGCATACATGAGCTGGCATGCATTAACCACAGAGCAGCGTCATGCATGACCACTAAAAGTAAAACAATGCGTCGTGAAGGGGTTGCAACAACATTACATTTCCTTTCATTCCATCTCGACACATGGAATGGTTTCAGATTGTCTACTTGTTGATTTTTTATGCTTGCGCACATTTGATTTAACAATGGTAAACATGAAAACGATCACTGTTATTCTACAAACATAACGCATCTTCTAAGTGCTACAAAGGTGCATTCAAAACTGCTGAGCTGACATGTCCAGGAGACACGCATGTATTTGTATCCTTAGCAACAGCAGCCATGATGCACCACCTGATCGCAGCTAAAAACATGCATCATCTGCGACCTCTGGCAACATAAACAAAGGCGTCTCATCTTATCAAAACATAAGTGGCCAATCCAATGCGACAAGATATTAACCGTTTCATCAAACACTACAGCATGATGGCTTCTCTGTCCTCCTAACAGGTCGACAACAAACAGGCCTTCTGTAGAGACTTGATCAAATAAGCGGCTGTGATCAAAAGCTATAAATGCGCCACGGGAACATGTCAGCTTGGCTAAACACAACGGCAGGTCGCCCAGCAGCTGCGCAAGTCCTTCTGGCTCAAGTCTGTCAAATCGGGGCTAGAAGATGATCCTGTATTGATCTAACATCATCATCCTTTATCCAGACACCAGTCTGTTCTGTCAAAATCACATGCGACGCTGCCACAAAGAGATTTCTACAAGCCAGAAAACCTATATTTACCCTTCAACACATGCTTCAGACGCTGCTACTGTGGTAATGCTGCACTGCCCAGCTTAGATTTGCCGTCATTACTACAACGACAGACATACTGCAGATAAACAGTCTGCTGTCATTCCAGCCCCAGAAGATGTGAGAAAGAAGAGAAAATACTCACTCCAATGTCAACCCTGGAATCCTCAGCCTCTCCCGCTGGGCTTTCATGGTCACAGCACTCGTTCAGTCTATTGTGTACATGATATATTCATGCCGTTCGCCTGTCTGCACCCCCATGCGCTGACAAAGAGCCAAAGCCAGGCTCTGGTGTGGAGAGACCGGCTGAGAGCTGCTTGCAGGGGAGGAGTAAATATAGGGGACCTGGTGCTCTGAGCCGTTCAACTTCCACCCTGAGCTGTCAGATGTGATCATCAACTGCCTGTGGAGGGCAGGAAGGCTGGACGACAATCTTTTCCCCCTCCCCTGTCGCTCACGCAGCACCACTAAACAGAGCCGCACGCCCCTCCTCCACTGAGGAAGGGCCCTTACGTCAGCAAAGCAGTCAGAGGAGTCTACATGCAGCACTTCCTATCTGCAGCAGGGCTGACCATCATTCAACTTGTTTGTTTGTTTTCCCTCCCGGTAAACTGCAGCACAACTGCAAACCTTCTATAAAATGAGCCAGGGATGTTTTAAAAGACCAAGTGTTCAAAGAGAAAACAAAGACAAGCCATAAAGGCACTTAATGAGTGTTTGCTAAGGCAAATGTCAGTAACACAGTTTGGGTTAATGATTTGTACAATAACTTGCATTCTACACGGACACAACTGAAGGCAGGGATGGAGCTATATACGAGGAATTGGAAGTAGTTTTAATGTGTGGGTTGGAGTAAAACCTATTACATACTACAATATGTACTTCTGCGGTAAATGTTTGTAGCCGACCGGAGAGCTTACACAGAGCACTTAAGATTAATTTCGCTATCAGAGCAGTGTGCACTTTCTATACGCAAATCATCAGATTATTATAACCATTAGTATATGCAGATCCCATATGTGTCCCTGGATCTCAAAACCAGTTAGAAGTATCTTTTCTTGGAAACTAAGATTTATGCATGGGAATAAAGCAGAATGTGAGCTTTCCATTGATGTATGGTTTGTAAGATTTTTTTAATCGAGATACATCTATTTGAAAATCTAAAATAAATTTCCATACAAGTTGTCCAAATTGAGTTAGCAATGCATCAACTTAGCAATGCACCAATAAAATATTTATGGAAAATGATCTTTGCTTGATATTCTATGTTTTTTTTTTGTGTGCTTTCTCCACAAATATATTTGTGCTACATAAATATTCCAAGGCCCCACTTTAAATCCTTTTTGCCCTACTTAGTTTGTGCACATAGTGTCAACACTGATCTGAGTTGCTGTTTCACAGAAACAGAGAAAACAGAACATAACAGCAACATACTACTGAAGACAACAAATCAAATCGCATCTGAAGTGCATGAGAGTGGAAATTAAAATGTATCAGTAACTCTTTGATTGAGCTTAAAAACATTGTTATCGATCATAACTTCTGAAGAGAAAAAGCACAAACACTGCAAGCATGAACCTTACAAGAGCACATGTGTTGAGTGCCCGTGTTTGTGCAAGCTATGCTTTGCAATAAAACACAGCGCTTAAACTGAAATAATATTAATATTCCAGTTCCATTTTTACTAAACCTAAAACTATTTAAAATGAACACAAATTTACGTTAAAACTTAACTGAATGTAAATTAAATATAAATTAATTGTCAATATGAAAAAACATGACATGACGATGAAAAGTTTTAACAAAACAAATTAGCTGAACACACATGGCAACTATAAATGCTGTCAAAATACATTGAAATACTTTTTAAAACGAAAACAAAGCTAAATAGAAATAATAAAAAGATCAAATTGTCACACACTCAACTTGTCACTCAACCAAGCCCTGAGGAATATTAGCCCTGAGGGTTTTGTTCATGAGTGAGGGAAGGATGGAACATGAGATTGACAGGTGGTCTGGTGCAGCAGCAGCAGTAATGCAGTCAATGTACCGGTCCGTTTTGGTAAAGGAGCTGAGACAAAAGGCAAAGCTCTCGATGTACCAGTCAATCTACATTCCTACTCTCACCTATGGTCATGACCTTTGTGTCCGAAAGGACAAGATCTTGGATAAAAGCGGCCAAAATTAGTTTCCTTCACAGGGAGGCAGGGCGTACCCTTATAGATAGGATTGGGAGTTCGGAGTAGAGCCGCTGCTCCTCCATATCGAGAGAAGTCAGCTGAGGTAGCTAAGGCATCTGTTTTGGATGCCTCCTGGACACCTACCTAGGGAGGTGTTCCAGGCATGCCCCACCAGGAGGAGACCTCGGGGAAATCCCAGGACATGCTGGAGGGAGTATGTCTCTTGGCTGGCCTGGGAACACCACGGGATCCCCCCTGAGGAGCTGGAGGAAGTGTCTGGGGATAGGGAAGTCTGGGTTTCTCTCCTACGACTGCTGCCTCTGTGACCCGGCCGTGGAAAAACGGTTAAAAATGAATGAAATGGATGAATGGATGAAATTAATATTGAAAACTAGACTAAAATACATAAATAAATAATAATAAATAAATAAATACATATTTATATACATAGAAACAGTACCATTTACTGTAGGATTACATAAATAGCACTAGTTAAACAATTCTAAACACCTTAGCTAAAATAAAACCACACTGCATATTAGAAACCAAAAAGAAATGTCTTGTCACCAAGAACACCCTAGTGACTGCACATCACCATATAAACTACCTATCATAGTGATGAGTCTTGCAAAGACAATCATCATTCAGGATTAATAAAAAAGTGCTCTACACCTAAATAGGACACATCTGTTCATAACAAACAGAATCTTGTGATTATAATACATGGAATATATTGTGCTAGACAGTACCAGGCACTGACTTTCACAGGGGACAAAGGTGCTTGGAGACTGCTGCTATAATGAGCTCAAGCTTTAACAAGCAATTTAACCCGAGTTCCGCTAAAGACCTGCTAATGAAACTCATAAAGCCAGGAAGGACATCATAGCCAGAACCGCATGTGTCCTTCTGCTTAGCAACATCAATATGCTCCAGCAAACTGAAAGCCCTAACAGAAATGGCTGGCAAATATGCTGACAGTTGTATTGTTTATGACATAATATATAGCAACTGGAAGTAAAGACATACATTACAATATAATAATAGAGCAGACTTTGCAATAACTTGTCTGAATACATTCATCATGTTTCTTTGAATTATAAATTGAAAAGGTGCTAACAAAAGAGGATCATAAATAAATCCTGAAAATCCGTTTTCCATAACACCAAGTCACATTGTTCCAGAAGCAAAAAACAAACTAACTACAGGTAATTTGCAATCTCATGAAGGGACATGGATTTATACATTTACTTTGTACTTTCTGTGATTGAGTGCAATACTGAGGTTTCTGCAACCATGGATTTCGCATTCAGCACAATCATCTCTCTCTGTTATTTACATGCACACCTCACATATGCAATACAATATAAAAAACGTGACCATGGATCACAATACCAGCCTATGTTGCATGGTACTTGCAAGGTAACCAAACATATACACTCACAGGCCACTTTATTAGGTACACGTTAAAAGTGCCGGATTGGACCCACTTTTCTTTCCAGAACTGCCTTAATCCATCGTGGCATAGATTCAACAAGGTACTGGAAATATTCCTCAGAAATGTTGGTCCATATTGACATGATAGCATCACATAGTTGCTGCAAAGTTGTCAGCTGCACATCCATGATGATCTCATTCAAATCTCTCATTCTACCACATCCCAAAGTTGCTCAATTGGATTGAGATATGGTGACTGTGGAAGCCATTTAAGTACAGTGAACTCATTGTCATGTTCAAGAAACCTGTCTGAGATGATTCGCGCTTTATGCGTGCATTATCTTACTGGAAGTAGCCATCAGAGAATGGGTACACTGTGGTCAAAAGGAGATGGATATTGTCAGCAAAAAAACTCTGGTAGGCTGTGGCGTTTACACAATGCTCAATTGGTACTAATGGGCCTAAAGTGTGCCAAGAAAATATGTTCAACACCATTACACCACTACCACCAGCCTAAACCAGTGATACAAGGCAGGATGGATCCATGCTTTCATGTTGCTGATGCCAAATTCTGATTCTTTTTTTGGACCACTGTCTGTAAATCCTAGTGATGGTTGTGCATGAAAATCCCAGTAGATCAGCAGTTTCTAAAATACTCAGACCGGCCCATCTGGCAGCAACAACCTTGCCACATTCAAAGTTACTTAAATCAGCTTTCTTTTACATTTTGATGCTTGGTTTAAACTGCAGCAGATCATCTTGACTATGTTTACGTGCCTAAATGCATCGATTTGCTGCCATGTAATTGGCTGGTTAGAAACTGCGTTTACGAGCAGTTGGACAGGTGTACCTAATAAAATGGCCGATGAGTGTATAACGAGTACAAATTATAGATTTTTATTTTAGTTTTCAAAAATTTGTATGTCAGTCAAAAATGGTCCTATCCTAAAAACCATTTGTTTAATTTCAAACAACTTTCACTTTTGATTGGTTTTGTGATCCAGGGTCACTAATATGTAACTATAAAACATAGAGGATGGGGATGCAAAGGCCAAACCAATTAACCCACTGGGCTATATTCTCTGTATTTTTGAGAAAAAGTGAATAGTTGCCCAAATTTGGCAGACTCATGGAAATATGCAATTGCAGATGACAGTGTGCATTGCATCAAAGACCAAGCAGGAGCAGCAGGGAGACGGGAAGTGGGGCGTAAGGACCTAGTTAAACAAAACCTAGTTAAACACCTGCTGCGGGTCTGTTAAATTAGGCCAAACTCATTCATGTCAAGAAACTGGATTAAGCTAAACTTATTTATCCGAAAAGGCAATAAATAGCTGTATACCAAATAGCTTTGACTTTATAAGAGTAAAGGCTGATTGTATGATAGTGCACATGTGTGTGAGGTAATGAAGCAATCAGCTGCAGCCGCAGAGACTGGTCTGTTGGGATTTAACAGGTCTCACTTCACTTATTACCCTCTATTTACATTCATTAATTGCCGTAACCCTTTCCCTTCCATTTTGCCATCTTGAAAGGTCTTACTTTAAATAGTGTTTTATTATTTTAAATAGTAATTTTATTTTTAATATTAAATAAAATAAAAAGTTACTTACATTTTTTTAAAAACAGTAACTTTTATATATATAAAAAATAACTAACTCGTTTTGATTTTGCTATGATAACAAGATATAGTATTTTCCTTTTTTGCAAGAAACTAGTTTTTAACCTAAAGTTCAAATTAATGGCCAAAATGCATCATAACGCTGTAACAGACTTATTGCGAGTTATTAAAATGCTTAATTGCAGTCATTAATGCAAAGAGTGGCCCAACCACTTAATAGGTTTAGGGACAAACACTTTCACACAGCGCTATGTAGTTTTGGATTTTGTTTTCCCATAAAGAGCCCCTATTATGGGTTTTTGAAATGACCTTCCATGTAGTGTGTAACAGCTCTAAGTGAAGTGAAAAATCAAGCTAAGGCTTAAATCTGAAAGTGCGCAGTGTTCAAAACTATCGATTCATCTATAAAAGAGTTGACTTCTAGTGCTTTAAATAAATCGTCTTATTAACGAGTCTCTAGCCGTGCAAAAGTCAGTTAAATCATGTCGTGAAGATGCTGTGCTCCGAAATGTGAGGAGAAAGTTAGTGCTATTTTCCTTTCCCAAAGATGAGGCTGTAAAGAGTCAGTGGTTGATGCTTATTTTTCATAATAATAATAATAATAATAATAATAATAATATTTTTGCAAAATGGGTGGTTGGTGAAATTACGCGAGTTTTCCGGGAAAAAATAACAAAATGGGAGTGTGGGGTGAGATCTGGAGTCTGAAATACAGGAGACTCCAAGGAAAAACGGTAGTCTCACACATACACTCTGCACTCTGACTCTACTTCAAAACTGTTGATAAGCCGTGGTGGGCATTACTCTCTTCCATTACTCTCTTACTCTCTGTCTTGTGCTTAACGTAGTCAATCAATCAGCACAG